CCCCTCCTCTCCCCTCCTACCACAACCTCGAAAGCTCAGGAAACAGCGCTTTCTGGGTAGGGCTCCCATGCAGACCAGCTCCTCTGGCTTTTGGCAGCAGGAGAACCACATTGGCCAGGGTGTAGCCAGGTGGGCTTTTCTGAGCTCAGCAGAAACATCCTACACTCACAGACAATTCTCTTGGCCCGCATGATGGGCCTACTGAGGATACAAACGTAAAGGAACAGCTCTCCTTTCTCCCAGACCTTGGTCCCCACCGGGCCCTACCTCTCAATGGGCATTGACTTTCCTACCCAGACTCTTGGAACCGGAGAGAGGAATTTTGATCTAACTGGTGTTTTAAGATCCTCCTCTTTACTGATACCTCCCTTAGTCTCACCAGACGCAGGCAACTCTTTGCCTTTAGAAAATTTAAGAATAATTATTCTAAAAACAGATGCCCTGAAAACACTTTCCCTGAGGAACCATGGAAAGAACTTACTTAGCATCTTCCCCCAAACCGGGCAGTCACACTTGCCCCCTCCTCTCCTCTTTCCCTCACATCAGTGGGTCACCAAGACTCCAGAGCCTGCCTCAACTGGTGACACCTGATGCCTCTCTCCATCTCCATCCAGTGCCTCTACCGCAGTCCAGGCCTCCGTTCATCCTTCTAGGGTTACTGTAATAGCTCCCTCACTGTTTGCCCCACGGCTACCCCAAAGCATTCTCCATAAACAGTCAGAAGTTTTCTAACATCTGTCCCTATCACTCCCTGATTAAACTGCTACATTGGCCTTATGTTAAAGTTTACATTCCTAGCATGACTCTCAAGGGCCTTTGTGACCTGGCCCCTGCTTGCTTCTCTCAATACTGTCCCCATACACTGTCCCCTAGCCTTATTCCCCAAATGTGTCATTCTCTCTCCAACCTGTGTCTAATACAGTCTTTTCCTTCCCCCTGCCTCCCCTATATGTCAGCTCTCTATGACTCATTCCAAAGACTATACTTGAAGTCCCTCTTCTGTGTTCCCTAGTGCCCTGTACTGGCCTGTCACTGAGCTTCTCAAATGGCAATGTCATTGTCTGCTACTTGACCATCTCTCCCACTAGACTGTGAGTTCCTTGGGGCTGGGATTACGTGCTGCTCACTGCTGGGCCTCAGGACCTACTACCACACAGTGAGTGCTCAACAAATGTTTGTTTAGTAGATAGGTGAGTGGAAGAATAGATGGCGGAAGACAGGCTGCTTCTCTCAGGCCTGCTAAGTGATTTCTATCAGGTCCCAAGTCTATCCTACTACTGTGGCTCACCCCTACTCCCAATGCAGCCTTGTCCAGCAGCTACAGAGACATATGAACAAGGTGTGAGCCAAGCATTCTGGACACACACCATGTGAGAAGGAAACCCAAGGGGCTGTCTCTCCCTGGGGCCTTCTGAACAGGCCATAGACAGACAGGAGCCATGGGGCCTGGCCCCTATCTGTGTACAGAAAAAGACCAGATGGCTAGCCAGCTCCTTCAGAGCTCCCTGGGGACAGGAAACGTGTGGACACAGTTGATGGATGGCCTGACAGGCAGGGTGGCCGCCAGAGCTGTCCCTGTGGGTCTAGAGTTGTCAGAGCACCCCGCCCGGGAGCATGGAGGAGGTGGGAAGACTCTTTTCTTGGCATGGAACTGGGATTAGAACTGCCGCCAAGAAAAGGAGCAGGAGTAGGAGTGGGAGGAAGAAGAGATAGAGGATAAGAGCCTCAGCCGAGGCTGCAGCACTCCCTCACCAGCTCCGGGGTCTGTCTCAGGAAGCCAGAATGCAGGGCTCATTCTGCTCCTCTCTGCTGTGGCACGAGCCCCCACCTACCCAGGTAAGAAAAGATATGGGCTTCTTTCAGCCCTACGCTTCCCATATCCTGTCACATAGTTCTAGGAGACTCATGAGGATAGGACTTTCTACTGTGTCCCGTGCCAGATCCCCCAGGTGGGGGAAGAAGTCCTCTGGGCACCAGCTGGGCTTGCCCCATGGGCTTGAGCAAGCCAGCATTTCTGGGATACCAGCTGTAAGGTGGGATCCACCNTGTCTAATACAGTCTTTTCCTTCCCCCTGCCTCCCCTATATGTCAGCTCTCTATGACTCATTCCAAAGACTATACTTGAAGTCCCTCTTCTGTGTTCCCTAGTGCCCTGTACTGGCCTGTCACTGAGCTTCTCAAATGGCAATGTCATTGTCTGCTACTTGACCATCTCTCCCACTAGACTGTGAGTTCCTTGGGGCTGGGATTACGTGCTGCTCACTGCTGGGCCTCAGGACCTACTACCACACAGTGAGTGCTCAACAAATGTTTGTTTAGTAGATAGGTGAGTGGAAGAATAGATGGCGGAAGACAGGCTGCTTCTCTCAGGCCTGCTAAGTGATTTCTATCAGGTCCCAAGTCTATCCTACTACTGTGGCTCACCCCTACTCCCAATGCAGCCTTGTCCAGCAGCTACAGAGACATATGAACAAGGTGTGAGCCAAGCATTCTGGACACACACCATGTGAGAAGGAAACCCAAGGGGCTGTCTCTCCCTGGGGCCTTCTGAACAGGCCATAGACAGACAGGAGCCATGGGGCCTGGCCCCTATCTGTGTACAGAAAAAGACCAGATGGCTAGCCAGCTCCTTCAGAGCTCCCTGGGGACAGGAAACGTGTGGACACAGTTGATGGATGGCCTGACAGGCAGGGTGGCCGCCAGAGCTGTCCCTGTGGGTCTAGAGTTGTCAGAGCACCCCGCCCGGGAGCATGGAGGAGGTGGGAAGACTCTTTTCTTGGCATGGAACTGGGATTAGAACTGCCGCCAAGAAAAGGAGCAGGAGTAGGAGTGGGAGGAAGAAGAGATAGAGGATAAGAGCCTCAGCCGAGGCTGCAGCACTCCCTCACCAGCTCCGGGGTCTGTCTCAGGAAGCCAGAATGCAGGGCTCATTCTGCTCCTCTCTGCTGTGGCACGAGCCCCCACCTACCCAGGTAAGAAAAGATATGGGCTTCTTTCAGCCCTACGCTTCCCATATCCTGTCACATAGTTCTAGGAGACTCATGAGGATAGGACTTTCTACTGTGTCCCGTGCCAGATCCCCCAGGTGGGGGAAGAAGTCCTCTGGGCACCAGCTGGGCTTGCCCCATGGGCTTGAGCAAGCCAGCATTTCTGGGATACCAGCTGTAAGGTGGGATCCACCAAGGTTTCCAAAGCTAAACCATCCACTTCCCCAGGGATGCGGTAGCAGCAGCTAGTTGGATAGGAGAGTGGCTGGGAAATATGAGATGCCAGGATGATCCCTGTGCTATAAGAGAACTAAAGAGCATCTGGGATGCCAGGTCCTGAGCCCCACAGAGGCCTGTGCTGTGGTTCAGCGGGGAGCTGGCAGCGATCCCCTGGGGAATTCATTCTTTAAGAAGAACATTCCACCTGTTGAAGGCAATGTTAGCCTGCCTGGGAGAAAGTAGACAGATGTGGCAACATGGTATGGTCTCTGGTTCTGAGATAAAGACCACTTCCTCTAAGCTGTGGTTCCCCAAGTTCTGTCTAGCCTAGTGGCTAACACAGAGTAGGTGCTCAATGTGTTTCTGGAATAAATGTGTCTAGGTCCTTCCCTGGATTCGATGACAGCCTCCCTCCCACTCACTACCCCTTCCTGACCAGCAAAGCTGCCTGACCCCACCAGCCCCAGGGTAAAGGGAGGTCTGGAACCCAACTCCAGTGCTTCCTGCCAGAGTCTGACCCTGCGGCTCCCAGGCCCTCCAGGCCCGATATGTTGCTCAGCTGAGCAGACATCTGATCAGCCACTTCCCCTCCCTGGGAGAAAGCTAGGACCGGGACTCTGCCTGTTTCCTTAGCATTTCCTCCTACTTTGGACTTGGACACATCTGGCTGGTCAATTAGTGCTGAAAGGTCCTGGCCAGGCTGTACACTGGTCAGGCTTCAGGGACCTGGACAGTCCTAAAAGCCACAGCTGGGAGAGATGGATGACCAGAGGCCAACTTGTCCTTCAGGTGTTGTCTCCAGGCAAAATATTCCAAACTGATGTGTCACCACCCTATCAAAAGATCCCTGGGGTTAGATAACCATCCCCCTTACAGATGATCTTTTCAGGAGTTAAACTGGGTTGGTCCTTGGTAGATACACAGGTATCTGCTAAATCTGATGGACACCTTTAACCTAAATCTCTTCTGGGCCTATGTCACCCCCTTTCACTGTTGTTTTGTGTGGGCAGGATAACAGCTGGGGTCTCAGGGGTAATCAGGTCCCACTATCTCTGTAGGTTTAATCCCTGTCACTTTTCCAGCCATGCATTTTCTTCTTCCAGGAAAGATAATAAAACTCTTGGAGCACAAGTGATCTTTATAAATCAAATCCAGTCACTCCCCTGCTTCAAACCCTACAATGGTCCCATTTCACTGGGATAAAACTGAAACTCCTACCATGATTTACAAGGTCCTTCATGATTTGGCCCCTGCTTATCTCTGCAACCTCACCTGGTATTCAACTCCTCACTCACTCAGGGGCAAGAGGAGGCCTGAGGTCATCTTCCCAGGAGCTACCAAAGCAGCTGTACATCCCAGATGGTCCATGACAGCCCTGATTTGAAATCATTTATCTTTTTTTTTCCACCTCCAATATCTAGATAACATGGAAATCCTATATTTTAGTCCAGAATATAGGGCTGCCTGTCTCTCATATCTGGAGGTGGCACATGTTAGCCTCCACGCCCCAATTTGGGCTCAGGAAATTTGATGCCCAAACCCCTAACCCATCCTTGTATCACTGTATCATGATGCTTGTATGACCACGTACAGCCCCCACCTGAGGTCCCTTCTCCCAACAAGCCAGGTAAGTGGCCCCTGGAGCCCAAGGAGTGGCCTGGCTTCACCACTCACACACTACCTAGGCTCTGACAGCAGCTCTTGGGTACCCCAAGCATCCACCTAAGTACAATCACAGGACATACCAGCAATCCCAGTCCCTGCTCTTCCCTTGCTGCCCAGGGAAAGACTCACATCGGCTGGCTCCCTGCGGGGTCCCTCGCCACTCCGCAGCCAGCTCCGGCTAAGCTCGCTGAGCTCCGGGATGGATTGCACCTTGAGCCGCACGCTGTCCCCGGACTGCCGGATCATCTCCACAATCTCATCCCTGGACTTGCTCTCCACGTTGTGCCCATTAATCTCCACCAGACGATCACCCGGCACCAGCCCCAGGGCCAGGTCCTTGGTGCCTGCCCCAGGCTCAGCAAAGTGAACTACCCTCCGATAGACCTGGCCCTCAGAGCCCCGGTCTAGCATGGTCGTGCGCCGCAGGGAGAAGCCAAAGTCTCCAGTGGGCCTTCGTTGCAGCTCCAGCTCCCGGAGGGTAGGTGGTGGCGGGGCCACCACGGGCGGCAAGCGCAGGTCAGCTGGAAACCTTTTAGTCACCAGCTCGGGGACTCGGGAACGGGGGCCCAGGCGAGGGAGGCCTGGGCCAGGATGCTGCACCAGCTGTCCCTCCAGAGTCCTCGCCTCCACCTGCGGAGATGGGGCCGCAGAGTGCTCCGAGGGGGTGGAGGTCTCCGAGGCACTCTCATCCCGGCTCCGCTGGGAGAAGGAGAAGCGCTTGACGATCATCTGTGAGTTCTGCTTGGCCAGGGAGCCGAACTTGGCCGCCCGCTGCAGCACCGAGCCCCGGAAGCTCCCCTCCTCGCCCTTGAGGTCGTCGCTGGAGCTGGCTGTGCTCAGGTGGCCCGAGTCCAGGATCACGCTGCCCCTGTTGCTGTCGGAGTCGATGTCAGTCAGGTGCAGGTCGGAGCCGCTGGCCACCTTGATGGGGATGGGGTTGGAGATTTCCAGGCGCATCTTCGATTCGCGCTTGGAGGAGCGGTTCAGGTTGAAGAAGCCGCGCCTCAGGCTCATCTCCTCCAGGCTCCTGAGCTCCGCCGCTGACATCCGCTCCTTCCGCTCCTTCTTCTCCTTCTTCTCCTTCCGCCCGCCGTCTCTGTCCTTGTCTTTCTTCATTAGGTGGAACATGGTGGGGCCGCTGCTTCAGGGGTGGCACCCCCCGAGGATTACGGGAGCTTAGCACAGGGCCCTTGTGTTTCACCTTGCTGCTGCGGACAGAAGCAGAGAGAAAGGGAACGCTTGTTACTCGAGTGGGGCCTCTTCCCCGCCTCCAGTCCAGATGTGGCCAACCGCTGAGCACAGCTGCCCCTCCGAGTCCCCTGGCAGGCCCTCTGCTTCCCGCAGTCCTGCCTCAGTTAAGTGATGCCTCATAACCCTGCTATGAGGAGGTCTACTGTTATTCCCATTTTACAAATAAGAGGACGTGAGATTTAGGTAAGGTTGTAAAAGCCCAAACTCCAAAGTCTCGTTTCCTGTGATTCCCGATTGACCCAGGCTTAGGTCTGTGTGGAGGTGGCATCTGGGCAATCTGACCTCCTGGCAAGAGGATGCCATCAAGCCAACTTGGGACCTGACTTAAGATTCAAACACAAGGGAGAAAGGAAAGGGACTCTGCACCATCACCTCCCCACAGCCAATGTCCCTTAAGGCAACAGACTTCACGTGCTACTGGGCTCTTTCCTAAGCCTGTTATCCCTAGAACAGCAGCCTCGGCCACTGCCTGCCAGAGGCCCTCAAAGAACCAACACTTATTTAATGGCTCCCACTAATCAGGCATGATGCCAGGCACTTTACACACGCTACCTCATTTGAACTACACAGCATCCCTGCAGGGTAAGTATCATTATCTCTACACACGAGAAAATTAAGTATATGTTAGTTGTCTCATAGCTAATAAATGGCAATGTCAGGATTCAATGGCAAACATTGTTTTCTTTCTAGGTCCGGAGCGCCCAAGTTGAAGCGGGGAGGGAAGTGAGGGTAAGTTCCAGACAGACAGCTGTGCGGTGGGGGTAGAGGTGGGGTCGACTGGATAAACAGGATCCTGAAAAACTCACATCCTTTCCCTAGACCAACACCTAAATATAGCCTCAGGAAGAAAGCTGTGGTAGCCTGAGCAAAGACCTCCGCTCTGGGGCACATGTGCCTATGGCGCCAGCCTACTCCCACCCCTGCGTACACCTGACTGGGACAGGAGCGAGAAAAAACAGGGGGGAGGTGGAGTTGAGAGAGCTTTCCCTGCTCTAACCAGCAGGGAACAGAAGTAGAAGTAGGCCATACCACCTAATTAGAAATGAAATGTAATTTTTCTCTCTCTCCATGAAGGCCTTCCCCCTGAATTCTAGACACAATGACCTATTGCAAGGTCCTGGAGAGGCCTTTCCTTGCTGTGTACCCCAACCCCACAACCAAGCAGGGCCCTCCAGACTCCCCATTCTACTGAGAGGGACCTTCAACCCGGCAGTATAATGCCTAGGAAGGCATCAAGGCCAGGAACTCCCAAGCACCCCAGTACACTGGCTAATAGCTTCACCCTTGCCCAGCACTCTCACCCGAGTGGTTCCTGAGAGATCAGTGTATCCTTTCTAGAGCAGCGCTATCCAAAAGAAATATAATTCAAGTCATATGTGTAATTTAAAATTTTCTAGCAGCCACATTTAAAAAGGTAAAAAGGAATAAGTGAAAGTCAATGATATTCATTGTCACCTTAATATGTAATCTTACTTTTTATGTATAAAAAAGTTGAGGTATCTTATATTCTTTTTTCCACACTAAGTCTTTGAAATCTAGTGCATATTTTACACTTGGAGCACATCTCAATTCAGACTAACCATATTTCAATTATTTGGCAGCTCCATGTGGCTAGTGGCTATAGGATTGGATGGTGTAATTCTAGAGAAAGCTTTAGTTGTAGAACACATCCAAAGGGTGGGAAATCTGGTCTAGTCACTAGCTCCCTGTAGAGCTAGCAGGGACCTCTTTCCTCCTCTCACCTCAATTTCTATCTGGTAAAAAAAAGTTCCCTCTGAACTTTTTGGTTCTAAATGTCTATGCACAGTACCTGGGAGTAGGAAGACAAGAAATCTAGGGCCCAAGAGGCACAAAGCCAGGGGCAACCATGGCCAGCGGGGTCTGGACTGACTTGGAGCTGGGGAGTGCCTGACAGCAGACATCTTCTCTTTTGGGCTGTTCTTTGACATGGGGAGTCTATCTCCTCCTGAACCACTGATTGGGGGTATGGCAGAGACCTACCACATGCCAGGACATAGGATCTTTAGCTGGTCGCTGCCCACAGTACCTCTCACCCCCCCACTACTTGCACTGTCTTAAAGGGCTGGTTTGCAAGATATTTGGAATTTTAGAGCTAGAAGAGACCTGTGGGGAAATGAGTAAAGAAACCCACCTCAGGGACTTAGAGGGGACAAATGAGTATCTCAACCTCAGTCCAAACCAAATGCCTTCAATGTGGTCCCACCAAGACACCTTTTGCTCTCCAATTCTCACTCTGCAATCCTTATATAGTCCTGGCTCTTTGCTGGGGGCTAGATATTTGAGCTGTATCAACAGAAAAGAGGCCCAGAATCTTTGGGTTAGAAAGGTCCCTGGAAAGTAATTTCATATAAATCCCTGCCTTGGCAAAAGCTTGTCCCTCATTGTCATTGTGACAGGCAGGAAAACAGACAGTCACAGCAGCAGCACAGGGGATAGTGCTGGCCGGAAATGTTAGGAGATCTGGTATCTAGGCCTGGATCTGCCAACAAATCACCAGGGGACCCTGAGTCTGTCACTTTGTTCAAGGTTGAACTAGATGATCTAGGTCTCCTCTAGCTCTAAAATTCCAAATATCTAAGTCTCTTGTGGACACAGGTTAATTATTAACTTTCTGCCAACATCACCCCTCTCATCCCAACCCTGGGGCCTTTGGAGACTGAGTCCATTTCAGCCCTTCCTTCATCACCCCTGTGTAGCCACTGTTATCTGCACAGTTCACAAGGAACCCCTTCCCCACTGTCATCTCCACAATTTCCAGGCCTGGCTGTGGCCTGGGTTCTCTCCTGTGTAACCTGCCCCTTCAGGGTCAGACTTGTAATGAAGTGGCACCTGCTGTTGCTCCTATGCTCCTCAACACCCAACTCACTAGAGACCTGGGCTCTGTCACCTTTTTGTAGACCCTGGACTTTCCAGCATCTCCTGTCCTCATGTCCAAAGTCTCTAGTAGCAATGACATCACCACCTCCCCACTCTCCATTCCAGGCTAGTTTGTACCTGCCTCCCCTTTGTCTCTTACTCTCTCCAGTGAAGGAAACCTTACAGTTTTTCTGAACTCCTTCTCTGCCTTTCTCCCCTCACCCTACTCCAGGAGGCCTTCCTGATTTTAGGTGAAGAAAAGAATGCATGTAAACTAGGGTATGTACGTCAAGTAGCGTATGTACCTAAATCATCTTGACCCAACTATCTTCAAAATCAAAGCAAAGTACAATCAACTTGGTCAATTCAACTGCTTTATCACTTTAAGACAGAAAGCATTTTGAGGGCAAGGACCATTCAAGTCAAATGTGCGCCTATCAGTTCACCAATAGCAGTAACAATTTATACATTCATATAATGAAATACTACTAAGCAATAAAAAGGAAGCAACTATTGATACACACAACAGGGATGAATCTCAAAAACACGTCAAGTGACAGTAAAAGACGACTTTGACAAAAGAGTACATACTGGTATAGCACTATTTAAAATATATATATATATTTATTGATTTTTAGAGAGAGGAGGGGGTGGGGGGGAGAGAGAGAGAAAAACTTTGATGTGAAGCTGCTGCCCCCTACCGGGGATCAAGCCCAAAACCTGGGCATGTGCCCTGACCGGGAACCAAACCAGCAACCTTGTGGTGCCTGGGATGATGCCCAACCAACTGAGCCACACCAGCCAGGGCTGGTATGGTACTATTTATATGAAGTTCTAGGATAGGCAAAACCAACCTAAGGTGGAGAAAAATCAGAACAGTAGTTACCTCTGGGAGGTGGGGTTGGAGATTGCCTGAGAAAGGGCATGAAGAGACTTTCTGGTGACGCTCACGTTACATATCTGGATAGGGGTGGACTGACAGGTGTATACATTCGTCAACAGTCATCAAATAGTACACATAGATTTGTGCATTTCATTGTATGAAATGTTCACTTAAGAGGAAAAAAGAACTGTAAATAAGCATTGAACTCTAGTTAATGATATGTATGCTAAAATATTTGGGGCAAAGTATACTGATGTCTACAATTTACCTTGAGATGCATAAAAAATGTAAAATAGCTTCATGAATGGATCAAAGGATAACTATGTGATAAAGCAAGGATAGTTAACTGTAGAACCTAGGAGGTGGGGGTTGTTCCCTATAAAATTATTTAACTTGCCCTAGCTGGCGTGGCTCAGTGGTTAGAGGTCAGCCCATGACATGAAGGGTCCTGGGTTCGATTCTGGCCAAGGGCATGTACCTTGGTTGCAGGCCCAATCCCTGGCTGTGGTTGGGGTGCCTGCAGGAGGCAGCCAATCTATGTGTCTCTCTCATATCGGTGTTTTTCTTTCTCTCTTCCTCTCTCTCTCTCTCTTTTCCACTCTCTCTGAAAAGCAATGGAAAAAATGTCCTCAAGTGAGGATTAAATAAATAAATGAGTGAATAACATTTCTAAATGTTTACAGAGCTTTATGATAAAATATTTGGGAAAACATGTATGTATCAAGCACCTAGTAAATGCAAGGAATGTAAGATAAATAAAACTAATGAAAGAGCCTAGGTTTCAGCTGTCAGGTAACAAGCCTGGGAACAAAGTCAAGTTAATAGCTCCGCAATCTTGGGCAAGCCACGTAAGGCCTCTGTGCCTCCATTTTCCCATTTGTAAAATGGAGAAAATAATAGTATCTGTCACATAAGGCATGGATATTAAATGAAGTATGTACAGAAGCCCTTCATATAATGCCTAGCCCAGAGTAAGCCCTCAAGAATGGTACCAAACAGAAGCAGGACACATGCTAGCCATCTAGATGGGATGGTAGAGAGGATAGCAAAGTACACAAATGACTATCAGCACAAGTGTGACTAAAATAAGTCTAGACATAAAATCTCTATGCTGGATAGAACCTTTATATATATAAAGTAAAGCCCAAAGAAGTGAAGGCAATCCAATGAGCTCATGGCCAACCTGGATCACACTGGCTCAAGTCCAGAGGCCCCATATAGGTAGTGCCAGGAAAAAGAATAGGCAAATGACAGATGCAGAAACATGACAAGTAGGAACAGGTATTCCGTCTTAGTAATACTCAGACATGTGAAATAAAAGAGGTATGCCACTGTTCACTTAGCAGTTTGGTAAAAAACTGCCAAGATTAATAACATCAATCAGTTGGAGGACGGGAAGTGGGGCATTTCATACGTGCTGGTGGGAGTATAAGTTGGTATAAGGAGGGCAAGTTGGGGGTACCTATGAAAATATTTAAGTGCACATATTCTTTGACTGGGCAATTCCTCTTATAGGACATCTATAGATATATTCACAATAAACATGGCTAATCTTTGCAGCATTGTCTAAAATACCAAAATTCTGTCGATATAAATGACCATCACTGGGGGAATAGCTAAATTATAGAACTGGGTATTATTAAAAAGAATGACGCAGATTTGTGTATGCTGACCTAGAAAGATTTTATACTATATTATTAAGTGAAAAAGGCAAGTTGCCAGATAGCACATAATTTTTACTAAGTTTTTTAAAACTATGCATATGTGTGCATATAAATATAATTTACATTATGCATAATATTTGCATATGCATAGAAAAGTGTGTGCTCTGTGGAAGAGACAGGGATTTTAGAACAGTCAAAGAAGACTTGTGTGTTATCCGTATTGTTTTAACTTTTTACAATAAGAATATTTAGCTGGCAGGTGTGTGTGTGTCTCTATGTGTGTGTTGTGTGTGTATTTAAGCCAAGGATTTAGATAGTGGGATTATATATAATTTTTCTTCTACTTTCGTGCATGTTCTTTATTTCTTACAGGAAAAATATTTTTAAGTATTTATATGAAATTATATTTATGTAACATATAACATCTTAAGCTATAAATATATATAATATACAAAATATATATAACAAGCTTTTGAAAAATCGTCTGGAAAGATCCATTGCAAAAATTCATCAGTGGTTTCCCTCTGTGGAGTAGTGGCTCTCTACTTAGTATACTTCCTGCAGATTAAACCTCTTTTCAGCATGTTAGTTTTGCGATTGTACCAATTTAAAAAAAATAAAAAGAAAGAAAGGTTTGACAAAGCAGTAAGCAATCCATTTAGCATTAAAGCTGTAAACAAGGTTTGCAATGGTTAAGGTCAAAGATTGCCCTCTCAGGCCTTGGAAAACTTTCAGTGACTTGGGGGACGACTTGGTTAAAACAGATCTCCACTGTTGTCTTGTGGCTTTTAGTGGGGACAGATTTAAATGGGTCACCCTGCAGCTGGCAAAGCAGAAACCCCAGGAAATGGAAACTCGAGCGTTAGAATCCCAAGACGAGGGCGCCGGGCTTGGCTGCTCCGGGAGGGCGCTGAGAAGGGTCCGCAGCCTCCGCGCGCCCCAGACCACGCTCCTAAATAAACACAAAGGAAATGCTTTCCCACGAGAGCCGGCCGCGCTCGCCGGCCTCTGACCTCCCCGAGTGGCCATTTCCTACGGCCCCAAGGCCTTGATCTCAGCGCTGGCCCACCGACGGCTGCATAAGTGGCGCAGAGAGGCTCGCGCGGCACCTGGCCGGCCGGTGGCCCCGGCCCGAGGGGCGCAGGGCGACGCCTGTCCTGCGGCCGCGGGGCTT